ACTCTGAGCTGGCAGGTTGTCTCAGAGAAAGCTGTATGAAGGTGGCTGAGGCTGGATTGTTCACCTGCAGCCTGCCCCATGAATGTTGGAGCCATCAGCATTCCAGTCTCTCTTCCAGGATCACTGGTGAATACATTTTTCTCCCCAGACCTGGGATGACTGGACAATAGTATCCCCTTTATCTTAAGTTCCTGTCACAGTCCAAATTCCAGTTAGCAGGCATATTTGGGCAGGGGTGGACTTCCATGATTGCAGATGGACAACAAGGTTTCTTTGCAGTCTCCTAGAGTGGGCAAAAGTCCTGTGACAATTTTTGCAGTGTTTAAGCCATTAATTTGAAACAATTTTAACAGCTCCAGAGATGCAAAAATTCACTTTCGTGTTGCACTGCAGGTGAACAATCCAGCCTCAGCCACCTTCATACAGCTTTCTCTGAGACAACCTGCCAGCTCAGAGTGGGAACATCCAAGGCACTTCAGAAATAGCTCTCCCTCTTCAGCCAGATGCCGTGACAGCTCTTTTCTGACACGGTGAAGCCAGCAGGAATCACTTCAGTGGTCCCAGCCAAAATCATGACTGAGGAAGATAGCAGTGGCACTTAGTGCTATGCAAGGCCAGAGCTGTGCTGTGAAATGGGACACTGGACACTCAAACTGCAGTTTTTAAGTGCTTGAAGCCCAGTATAGAGATGCTACAGAAGAACTTGTTTCACCAGAGTCCTTTGTTCACACACCATAAAGCAATGAGTTAAGGATCTGTTTTGTACTGGGACCGAATTTCTTTGTTTTAATAAGGTGAGCTGTATTCATCTGTACTTCAGACTCCCAGATCTTGCACCAAGAAACTACTCTGAGGTCCAAACTAGGGCCACCTAGTTGTGAGTTGTATGCAAGAGACCTGATCTATTCCTGCTGGCACCAGAGAGGAGGCAAGGTGTGGAAACCTCAGTCTCCACTGGAGCGCCACAAGCAGCTGCCTCCCTTATTGCCTGGTGTACATCCTGTGCTTGCAGCACAGCGCAGGTCTAGCTGAGCTGGGGGCAGAGAGCCACCCACCACCACTGCCTGGGCTGTGGGCTGGCTGAGTACACAGCAGGGCCATGGCTCCTCTGCCTCAGCTGAAGACTCTCAGCCCAGTCCCAATGTGCTGAAAGAAATCTTAATGTGGACTAAATGTTCATTTATGCTTTTGCAGGAGATGGGGGTACAGGTTTGTGCTACAACACACAGCATAGATTTTGTGGTGTTTTCTCAATGAAAGCAAGACAACTCCTGGAGTGCACAGGCAAGGCCCCTCTGAAAAACAAAACCCACCATTAACATCAGTAAGAAAGCCCTTAGCAGAATTACAAAAAGCACAATTGCTTCCTGAAGTAGCCAGTCTTGAGTCTTCTGCAAACACTCCGTACAAAATACTCTGTTAAGACTCCTGGTTCCTAAGCTGGCTTTTTTTCTTTAACCCATTTCCTATTCAAGTTTTCCAAACCAAGGAGCATCATTTCTGCAGATTGTTCTGTCCAATTTAATACCAGCTTTTGAACAGTTTCCAAAGTATTTTGCCTGAAATGGCTTGTAAGGGCTGGCTGCTGAGAAGTCAAAAGGTCAACACTCTGCTTGTCGATTGTGCTAGTTATGTTACAGATAAGAGGAAAAAAGACAGGGGGAGGAGGAAGAGAATGGCAGTGTCAGTGTGGAAGCAGAGGCAGAAGCAAGCCCTTTTCAGTCCTTTTGACTTGCTTACAGAATGGCAGCATTGCCAGGGAAAGGGTGATAGCCTATTGGGGTACCTTACATTGACTCCAGAACCAGGAAGCGAGGCCAAGGAATTGGTCTTTTCAAAATATCCTTTTCCTGTTTTTAGTTAAGTTTTGCTTGCAGAACCCCAGAGGTAACAACTACTGCTCCCACCTTAGCCAAGAACTTGTTACCCTTGGTAATACAAGGAACTTTACTTGGCTTGCCAGTTCATTCTTGACAGATGCATATTGGCTGTCACACCACTGCATTTCCTTATTTTATTGTTGAATTTGCACCTAAAGACTTAGCAGAGCCCTCTCAGACCACCTACAAACAATCCAGCCTGTGCAGAACCCTCCCCTGGGACTGCAACTGCCTTGCCTTCCATGTGCAATAAATGAGTTGGCTCCTTATTCATTCCAAGAGATTTACATGTGATCAAGTGAAATGACAGTGATGACAACGTTGGTCAAATGCACTTAAAGGGATCAGTGTGTGGCCTCTGCCATGGACCCAGTGCTGCAGCCTCTGCCGCCACTTCCTTGTAGCCTAGAAAAACCTATTTTACAACAGCAGCAGCTTTCCAGCATAGCTTGTTACTTACCGTCTTTGAGGATTAAAAGGTTTTGGACAACAACCAGAAGAAGAACAGAAGAACTCTTTCAGGCCCACATGTAGTGAGGCATGACCTGCACAGTAAAGTATGAAGGCTCCCGTGTGAAAGGGAGGTGTAAGGACACGCAAGGTGCAGTGCCCATCTCCTACCTGTGGTGTGGGGGGACGGCTACGAGATCCCACTCCCCACCTTCTACAATCATCTCTACACTCCTGCTAAAGCTTCACAGCCTTTCTAGGCAGGCTGGGCAGATTCAGACAGCTGTCATCAAACCACAGAGATGCACTCTGGAGCTTGTTTTAATTCAGCCTGGAGGCTCATACACAGGAAAGAAACATCACAGACCTCCAAATCCAACCACAGACTGACACGACTCTGCAAGGAGGAAAGTCCCCTTCCCTCTCCTACAGCACTATAGGAGTAATTGGAAATCAAGAATCAACAAGTAACCACCACAAGACACTGGAGCAAAAGTTATCTATTTTATTACAAAACCAAAACCAAACAGATGCCTTTCAGTTTAACAAATTTGCCATAGGCAGAAATGCGCTGGGGCAGGGTAAGTTCAATATAAACTCAGGCCATGGAAAGCAGTGCCTTCACACGAATCCCACTGTAATGCAATTTCCTACAACACACTATGCCCTTGGAAGATCAGCAAGAAAAGAAATTTTTTTTTACTTCTGGAAGGACAAACAGATGAGCTTCACTGTCGAGTCCTGGTTCTCTTCTCTGTCCCAGCCATTTTCAGCCGTCATTCAAAGTAGAGCTGGAGAGGCCCAGGAGGATTTGAAGGATGAGGAGACATATGCTCAGGGTCTGCTTTCAGACACAACACTGACACTCCCTATGTCCCAGCTTCAGAAAGATGCTACTGATGCAAGGCAGAGCAGAAGACTGCTTACAACCACCAGGTAAGGACAAATTGGCCTAGCAGCCAGGTGGACTGGCAACAAAACCAAGAGGGGAAATGGGCAGCTGAGGCACTGCTCTCGTCTGGTGAGTGCAGGTTGTTGGACAGCTCCCAGCATGGGCTACGTGAACCAGGGCCAGTATGGTCTGCACAATGCTCCAACATAAACCCAGAACAAGTAACCTCTGCCTGGACATGACACCATCATGCTGCTTGGGCCTTCCATGGCAATGTACAAGCATCGCCAGAAGCTACTCAGAGACCCATGCAAACTCACAAGTCAGGATGCAGGGACTTGGAACTGTCTTGTGACAGGGGAAAGTAATGTAATGCCTGGTCCCCAGTCTATCCATAAAGTCAGCCTGGGCCTAGCAACAGGAATACCCACAAATACCAAAGTTAATGAACAGCCACCCCTTGTTTGCCTTCCTTGAAGAACTGACCCAATTTTAGTTGCAAACCACATGTGAATGCAGGCCTTTTGGAGGGGAAGGACACAAGGATGAGAAAAAGGAGGTCAGCAAAAGGATTTATGTAACAAGCAGGACTGGTGACTGGCTGGTTTATTTCCAGAAGATGCAGTGAGTTTTAGAAGCTCTGCAGTCCCCCCACAATCATGTGGGGCATTGCCCAGCCCCAGTACTTGATAGAATTCCCAGAGGCATCCAATTGTCTGTTTCTGCTGGAAATAACTATACATTAAAAAAACCCAACCAAACAAAGAAAAACCCCACCCCCAAAAAACCCCAAATCACCAAACAACCCAGCAACCAGAACTTTTAATTCCTAAAACTAGAATATTAAAATGGAAAGGGTTTTTTTTTATACAGTTGGTTTCATTCTTTACTCCCTACAGTAGGATTAGTGAGTGTGACATGGACATTTCTAACTATACACTAAATCAACTTCTTTCAACACACAAAAGATGTGCCAAGGGCATTAAAAAAAAACCAAAAACCAAAAACAAAACAAAAACAAAAATAAAGCCAAAGAACAAAAAGAGAAGAAGCAATCAAGAAGGTGGGAGCTTGTGGGCCAAAATAGCACATACACTGTATGTGAGAAACCATGAAGATCCAGCAGCAAGATCTGCTCTTGCTAAAGAGAGGACTTCTTTATATTATGATGTATATTTCAGATATTACCAGAAGTGTTTTGAACCTGCCATATATTTTAATTAGCTACAACATACTTCCCAGAGGAAGAGTTATTACTACGCTTAAACAGTTATTTATAGAAAGGGTTGTTAGTTTTTCTTTTATTTAACTTTCCATTTTGTCAACAAGCACTAACTTACTGCATCAGGATACTTTTTTTTTTGGTGATGTATTTATCTCATGCTATTGTCATGATGACATCCTAGAGTGAAGATGCTGTGTTGTGTCATCTTTTACCAAAGTAACAGAGCCTTGAGGGATGACTCCAGTCTCTAGAGTAGCCTATTGCTATTACAAGTAATTGTTGGTGTGATCGCGTATTAGCATGTCATTTCATCACCTTCACTACAGTTTCTTCTAGCAGGTTGTTGGTCCAGAGATAAGTGGCAGAAGGATCACCAGGTCTGAAGTGGGAGGCTGCTCAGAACAGGCGAGTGCTGCCAGTGGTTGGAAATACACAAAGCAAAGCCCTGCATGTCCCATCACACTCTGCCCAATCTAGTATTGCTGATATGGGCACCCCTGCCAAAGAAACAACTTTGGTAAAACTGCTAGGGGTTGACACAGCCCCTGTGGCCTCCAAGAACACCAGAACTCCTCACTCCAAGCCTTCACTGTTACTGCTAATCACACCCCAGTGCCACGGTACCCACGAGGTACTGGCAACAGCAGAACAGGCAAAGTGGGCAGGCACAGCACTGTGCAGGAGGAGAGCTTGGATTCACAACCACCAAGGACAAGAAAAGTCACTGCTGACAGACCTTCACCAGTAAGCATGGCCCAGGCTGTACTGCTGAAAGAAGTAAAGCAGACTATTGGGGACCAGCAGCACGACTGTGTCTGTCTGCACTGACAAGTATGTTCTTTGCTCTTCAGCAAAGCACAAGGCAGGCTGGTGCTGCTTTTATCAGGCTTCTCAAAATGTTTATTGCTGTACAACATACAGATGAACACTTTGTCAGAGTGGAAGATGCAAGACTTCACTGACTCTACTAGGCCTATGGCTTCCACATCCTTCCTACAGCTTTAGATTCCAGAGGCATGGCACATCTTTGCTAAGCATGTTATCTGAGCATGAATAGCAATGCATTTGTATTTCATTTCTGCCCAACTGCAACAAGTGCATAAACCACTTTTGTACTTCCCTAATACAACCCTTTTCTATCCCTACTTTAAGCAGCTGTGCAGTGCACCAATACTTATATGGAATCTGTGCTCTCAAAAGCCCAACTGCCTGAGTTGCAGAGTTTTAAAGAAAAGGGGTTCAGCTGCTCTCAAGAAGCATTTTGTGTCTGCGGCACTGCATGCACATCTGCAAGAACAATTCATCCTGATACATGGATGAATTGCATGGAGGTGCTCTTAAGGCTCGCCGCTGAATGATGGTTTGGTGGCAGAAATGAATGCATTACTATCATCCATTAAATGCAAAGTGTCCCTCTAACCCTAATAGCCTTCAAAAGCAAAGGGAGGAACAGAACAGTGACTCCAACCCCTGTACAAGACAACTGTACAATTTACATATATATTTATATACAGTATATAAAATTCTTTGAGTCCCAGTGAACTCAATTTTACATCATCAGTAGCTGTTCCAATTTTAAAAAGTCATGATCCTGCTTCCCTCCACTTTCCAAAGTATTAGATAATGGCACTGAAAAGCAATTAAAAACAAACCCAAACCAATTTTTAAAAGTGCAAATGTTCTGGGTGCCACTTCTGCTACGCTGGATGTTGCTGATGCTGCGTGCTTGCTCACAAGCAGCAAGGTGTCTGTCCATCTGTCACTGGATCTTTTCTTCCTTTGGGTCAGCTCCTGCCTTCCCTTCTTGTCTTCTGCTGCTACACCAGGCGACCTACTGAAAGAGTAGGGTGGGCAAGGAGGGAAAAACAGAACAGAAGCAGAACAAGTAAGGGAAAAAGGCAAATTAAAACAAAAATAAACCTGACTGATAAAGATCCAGTATAGGCTCTGCTGAAGCCATGGCTCCAGAACACTGAGATCCCAGAGTAAGCCGTGAGGCTGAAAACAACCAGGGGCTAATGAGACAGCCTTGCTGGAAAAAGCATTGAATGAGTCACATGGAGCCTTAGGGACTGACATATTTTTAAACATGAAACACCACTTTCCTCCCCCTCCTTGGAAATGGACATGCAGTCTAGAGAAACAACTGGTCCAACATCCTTTGCTCTGCTCTTCTGCCTGGCACAGCTGATGCATAAAACCACTGCTGCCAGGCTGCCCTGCCACCATCTCACCATCAGCCACAGCCAGCTGCCTCCTTCCCCAGCAGACAAGATCTTGGAGGAGGCCTTTCTTCAGAAAGCATTTGTTAAGCCCCTAACCAAAGGTTCTTAAAGAACCAAAGCTCTTATGGGATCAGAGCTAGAGCTCTGTGGATTAATTACAGGTGAAAACATGCTAAAGAGAAAGCAAAGCAGGGATTTGATTTACAAAGAGGGGACAGGTTACCTCACTGGGAGGAAAGGCCTCACTGGGATCAGTGCTGATCAACATACCCTGTCACAGGGGGCAAATATTGCCAAATGCAAAATTATTTCAGGTAGCCCTATCTGCAATCGACTGCACAGCTCTGCAAAAGGTGCCTGCAGTGCTCAATGACCAGCTCATAAAAACAACAGATTGCTTTCCATGTCTGTAAGTGCAGTGCAGCGTGGGAGTGCAGATGACCTGACCTACACTGAGCACTCTGAGTGACAAAGAAGGAGCTGAAGCCACAGCAATTGTTCAAATGCCTCTGCTCAGCTTTTAGCAACAGGCAAAAATCAAGTACATACTCAGAAGGGAGAACACACCAGGAAACATCACATCATCAATGTACAAGGTGATCTTTATCTTCAGTTCTCTGTTCAGCCCATCTCACCAGCGCCAGATACATTCCCCAGAAAGATAAGGAGGACAGCAAGACGTACAGGAAGACTTCTGGCATTAAACAAATACACAGCCTAGGTCTCCTCAACACAAAAAGGAGTCTGACCAGACAAATATTGGACAGCTATAGAACAAGTGGCTGAAGAAATAAGCAGGAGAAAACTTCTCACTGCTTCCTACAATCCAAAATGAGAAGTACCCAACAAAACCATGAGGCAGAAAGTCTAAAAGCAAAGTAAATGATGTTGTTGTTCATGCCTGATGAAAGGGTCCATGTGATTCAATACTACAAAATACAGGGGAGAGCAGATGATACGTGATACAGAATTCACCATGATACAGAAGAGTCTTCATGGGAACTTGTCCATGGAGTAATGTAAGGTAAACACAATGAATCACTTAAATTATTGCTTGAAAGAAGAAGGAAGAGGAGGATAGTAGTCATCCCATAGCTGCTTTATCCTATTTTAATTCCTTAGCAAAGTATCATCTGTTCCAGCAAAAGACATAGAGCTAGACTTTGAAATGATGCAGTGGAGCTGTATGTTGGTATATTTATACCTCTTAAGAACAACTTTGGTTTCCAGCTGTTTCTATATTGCTGTTCATGAACACAGGAGAACAGGGGAGAATGAATTCTGCAACACATGCTTATCACAGGGAAAAAAAAAACATTTTGACAAGATACTCACTGAAAGGATTAAGGCCTTGTCTTTTTCCATTAGGCAAACTGCTCAGGCTACCTGTAAAATCCAAGAACCACATTAAAGGAAGAGAATGTCATGTCATGACAAAGGAACCTTCCCTTGTCTTGTCAGAGAGCAGGTTCAATGCACCCCCTCTGAACATGCTCACAGCAAGTCCTGCCAACAGAATTCACATGCAAGAGTCTAATCAATGTGCCTGAGATGAGAGATGTTAAATACATGGTGTTGTAGTAGCTGAATATCATGAAATCCAGAAGTTTTGCATGGGCAAGAAACAACAATTACAAGGTTAAACTGAACAGTGGAAGGAGAAAGAAGAAAGGAAGGATGCAAGTAGTATCATGACGTTTCCCCAAGCAAGCAGAATAATGCCATGTAGAAAGGGGGCATTCAGAAGAGAGTGAAGGTACAAACAATACAGACAGCCCAGCTTTATGAAATCTTTCCCTTGAATCAAACAAACAAGTGCCTAAAGTCAAAGACCTGAACTTACAAACACCTGGCAGAAGGGCAGAGCTGTGACTGTGTTAAGAGATAACAGGCACACACACCCTTCACCACATGGAGCTCGTGGTAAGGGCCTCTGCACTGGGTACAGCCAGCTCAGGAATTACAGGAGCTGTCAAAAGCATGTCACATGCTTCCTGAGAGTTGCTTCCTCTGGTTTCAGAGGAGAGATGAGCTGAAAATGAGAGCTCCTGCTCCCAGCCAGCAGCAGGAAGCCTGTTGCCACCTTCCAGCCTATGACTTTGATTTGTGCATGCACACGACCCAGCTGCACAGCTTGCTCAGCACATCAAGTACCCTACTGCACATGCTGCTTTGTGCAGGAATAAGATGGGCAGAAGCTCAGAGGGGAGGGGTGAGGTGTAGGAAGCCCCAAGGGCCAGGAGGCTGGGCTGTAAGATGGGAATGGAGCTGCTGGGAAGAAAAAGTCGGTGGGAGAAAAAGGTGGCAGTGGCCAAGGCTGCTGCTGCTGGCAGGAATATGGCAGGTGGTGAGAGTGGGTTACTAACATATGGCTGGGAAGCCCTTGGGCATTATGGGGTAACATCCCATTTTCCCATTTGGCAAGTTTCACAAAGCCGAGTATTTGCTCATCCTCACAAGTCTTGGATAACAGCTCTAGTCACACTGGATTAGGCCAGGTGTCTTTCAAAAGGAAAAGCCCCAAGGAAACCCCAGCAGATTTTTATAGGAAATTATTATTCCTGAGACATACTGAGCAAACCTTTCACATTTTGGGGAGAGAAACAGCCTTATCTTGTGTTCTCAATACAATACTGATGTCCTGATTCATACTATCACTAACTTTTGTCAAGATTAAAGGTAAATTATAGCACCTCTACAAAGCTCCAAAGGGGAGTATCTGAACAAGACACACAAAACCAAGTACTGAATCAGTGCAGCTCCTTTGATTCTAATCTAATAGCAATTAAATGTACTTTTAAATTCCTTTTTAATTCGGTCATTACCTGGTTACAGTTATCTCATGGCCACTCAGATTGTTATTTCCTATCATCATTGGTCCAGAGTGACTGCTCTTTGCTACCTTCTCCCACACAGCAGCTTGTACAGTAATGATACAGAGCAGCTCATTCCCAGCCTCCCAAGCATGCAGTCACTTCGAAGAAAGCAATAAGAAAGGTCCAAAACATCACTGAATGGAATCTGCTGTTCAGATTGTCTGTCTGCATTTCCTTCTTTCCCTAACATTTCATCAGATTCAGTAGAAGGTGACATTCTGTTTAATTACACACACATACACTTTTTAATTAAGATATTTCAATCCTGTTTCTGGACTGCACTCTTGGTGGCTGGGTTCCACCTCAGCCGTCCTCATGGTCTGTGAAGCGTGCCCAACACCTACCATCTGACAAGCTCTTGGGTAGCAAAGCAATCACAGGATCTGAGCTGGCAGAAGGCAACCTCCTGTCAGCTGGCAGAGGGACACTGCTCTGCTGCTTATTCCCTTAGCTCCTCTTTGGGCAGGCACAAAATGCTGACTTTGTCTTCTGAACTTGGAAGAATATAGAAGTAAAACTCAACTCCAACATTTTGCAGCCAGCACAACTCACTGAGTGAGGCACAAGCCTCACTCAGATCTACAGCCCTCCTTCCAGCATCACTGGACTCAAATTCATCTTGGATACAGTGACTTTCCAGCAAAGCTTTTCAATGTGTGCCTATCTCCTCCCAAGGATCCTGCCTTTTGACTAATGAAGAGAGATACATTTGTTCTTTGATCACAGGTGGTTCCCCCCTTAACTCAGGCTGTGCAGACCATGCTGAGGAATGCCAACTTTTACCAGGCTGTAAATCAGTCTGTTTTCCTTCCACAATTCCTCAGACAGACAATCCTAGATCAAGTGATGGCAAAGACTGTTTCTGGCATACTCCAAGCTAAAAGCCCTGCCTGTTTCAGCTGTTCTGCCCCAGTTTAAAAAGCCATTTGCAGGCCTCTGCAAACACTCAAAGGCTGACTCTTAACGTGGCTATTCCATTCTGACATCCAAAAATGGCATTTTTCCATGTAAATGGCCCCTGATAAAAGTAAGTCTGGTTTAAAGAGAGGGACAAGAACTGTGCAAAGTGGCCACTAGACCAAGCAGATTTGGCAGCAGCTTTTTGGGTCACCATAAGGATGGGAAAGAGGAAGGGTTTCTGATAGACTGGGCAGCTATTTTCCTCACTGGAGAACCACTGGTTGGCAGCACCCACATATTAAGTTACCACAGGCATGAAGAGACTTATGAGGAAGGGAAGACAGACACAACTATGCACCTCAAACAGATTTAATTCTAAACTGGAAAGAGCTCAGATTCAGGTTTGTCCTACAAATATCCCAAGTGAATCCCCACATATAAATCCGATTTGGACTCTTTAGGTCCTGAGAGGCACATAACAGTAGTGTGTTATCTATGTTCTATGCTTCCTTTAAGCAGCTCTATTTCCACATTTGGATGGAACTGGCCACCAAAAAAATAAGCAAAACACTGACAAAAATGCAGAATGCTCAGCATCCCAAATACTACAAAATTTTAATTATGTTTTATTTTCAAAACCATTACAAGTGTTCAATTTGCCTAGGAAGAGGCATACTCACCTGGAATGATGTCCCACTTCATTTTAGTCCTTATGCTACTGGACACCCAAACAGGATTTGGAACATCTGTGCTAAGTTCACTTGCAATGAAGTATATCAAGGGGACATTATAACCTTCCTTGCCTCCCTGCAACCCCTCCTCATCCAAGCTAGACAAGAAGAACCTTTCAAACAAAGCTTTTGTTGAAACAGAAACATTTCCATGGAAAGTTCTGTTCTCATCTGACTAGCAGTTTACAACTGAAAGTACATCATCAAAAAGGTTTCCAGCTAGCTCTTGGCTTCAACCCACAGTGACCTCAGCCCCAGCAGATCTTTGGAGGCCACGGTACAGAGAAAGAGACAGCAAAATACAGGGACTGACTACATGTACCCATGACCAGCATAAACTAAAGTTAGAGAAGGGGTAAGACTGCAAAATCATAGAATGGTTGGGTTGGAAGGCACCTTAGAGTTTACCTCATTCCAATGCCCCTGCCACAGGCAAGGACACCTCTCATTAGACCAGGCTACTCAGAGCCCCATCCAACCTGGCCTCAAACACTTCCAGGATGGGGCATCCACAGCTTCTCTGGGGAACCTGGTCCAGCCCTCACCACACTCACATCAAAGAACTTCCTCCTAATACCTACTCTAAACCCACTCTCTTTCAGTTTGAAGTTATTCCCCTTTGTCCGGTCACTCTGTGCTCTTGTTGAAGTCCCTCTCGCTCTTTCTTACAGGTTCCCTTCAGGTACTGGAAGGCCACAATTAGGTCACACCAAGCCTTCTCTTACAGGATGAACAATCCCAGTTCTCTCAGCCTTTCCTCACAGCAGAGGTGCTCTCTCCCTCTAATCATCTTGGGGGCCTCCTCTGGACTCACTCCAACAGTTCCTTGTCCTTCCTGTGCTGCACCCCAGAGTTGATGCAGGGTTCCAGGTGGGGTCTCAGCAGAGAAGAGCAGAGGGGCAGAATCCCCTCCCTGCCCTGCTGCCCAGGCTGCTCTGGATGCAGCCCAGGACACATCTGGCTCTCTGGGCTGGGAGTGCCCATGGCTGGGTCATGTCCAGCCTCTCACCCAGCAGCACCCCCAAGTCCCTCTGGGCAGAGTGCTCTGATCTGTCCATTCCCCAGCCTGTGTTGACACTGGGGATTGACCTGAACCAGTTAAAGGACCTTGTCCTTGGTCTTCCTAAACCTCATGAGATTCCCATGGGGCCACTTCTTGAGCTTGTCCAGGTCCCTCTGGCTGGTCCAGGTCCCATCATTCAGGCATGGCAACTGCACCACTCATCTTGGTGTCATCTGCTAATGTGCTAAGGGTACACTCAGTCCCACTGTCTGTGTCATTAATGAAGAGATTAAATAACACTGGTCCCAGTATGGACCCCAAGGAATACCACTTGTCCCTGATGTGCATCAGGACTCTGAGCTGTTGATCACTACCCTCTGGATGTGACCATCCAACCAATTCCTTATCCACTTAATAGTCCACCCATCTCTCTCCAGTCTAGAGAGGATTTGTGGGGGACCATGTCAAAGGCAAAGATACTGTTTCTAAATTTAGCAGTTCTTATGAATAGGAAGCATAGAAAACATGTCATCTACCACCTCACAACTTCTTAAAAAAGATCCATTACAAACTTATTTACTGCAGCTCTGGAGCACTCAGTTCTTTCTTCCATGCTAGTTCCTGCCCTCTGCCCTGCCCCCCACACTGCTTTTTTGTCCTCACCATCCTTTAACTTATCCCTTTATCTTTGATCCTCAAGGCCTATCAGGTCTGTAGCAGGTATGTGGAGCTGTATGACAGAAAAAGATCACATTTTTAACCACAGTCCTATCCTCATACAACAGAAGAAACCATGAAAGGTCAAGGCTGTGTTCTCAGCAAACAGCTGGACAATCAGGCACTCACAACAATGTCTTGCTGCCTTCTTTCCCCTTCACATGGGCTCAAAGTTTAACATTTTCTTTTTCTCTCCCTTTGATTTTTTCCCCTTCTATAAACTAAATTTTGAACAGTCAGTTGGCCAGGGCAGCAGATTCCAGAGAGTCTTATTCCAGGCCAAATAGCAATAAAATTTCATTTGGCATATTCGTCTTATTGGGAAGGTAATAAAATTAAGGATTGCTATTTTGGTATATCATTCCTCAGTAAGGTACTGATGACTAAAAAACCACCTCCACAGGGCTAGGGAAGCTGAATGCTTCTCGCAGCTGACAAGTGATGCTATATGCTTATTATGGTAACTAAGATGTTTGCAAAGCACCTAGAAAATGCAAGTTCCCAACACCCAAATGTACTGACTCCCTTCCCACTCGTGCTAAACCTGAGAAAAGGACTAAGGAAAGATTAAGATGGGAGAAAAAAAAGCTATCCTCCCTTCCCAATTACTATGACACTTATAACACCAGTTGTCTGCACAGCCAAAACACCTGCACAGGAAATTAGTCCCCTGGAACCTCCCTGTTTGCCTTCTCCTGCCAAGCAAGTCTGTCCACAGTCAAGAATGAATGATAATTATTGAATTTGGGTTGAACAGTTTCAATTCCTAAAATTTCCAAAAATATCAGTTTGGTTCGGATCCCAACAGATGATGAGGTGAAGATGAAAATAGGAAGAAAAGGCAGGAGGGTGGGTTGATTGCTCAGACACTAAACAGAAAGGAAAATACGTTATTCACATGCCTTATTTCTTCCCCAATCTCCAAGTCAAATTTAAGAAGAGCAGCATTACAGCTCTCTGCTTTCTTTCTGAGTTCTCTTTGCATCATACAATCTCCTGCATGCTGAATTTAGCAATGAAAATAAGTATTATTTCTGTTAGTAAACAGGGTCTCCAGAGAAGGACTGGGTCTGTGCTGGCTCATACATCATCCCACCTGCATGGCTGAGACAACAGAATCTTGTTAGTGGGGTATTACTCAGAAGGGACCTGGTCCTAACTGCAGTTTCCAAGGACTTCAACAGTACAAGCAGAGTTCTGGCCAAGAACTCTCATCTGTTGTCCTCTTTCTGTATAATGCTTAGCACAGAGGTCTGTGATAAGGCATAGAAGATGGAGCCATAACACAAGTAACAAACGACATTTGCATGGCAGTGTATTAATCCCACTCATTTGCTCATAAAAACTGTGGCACTTTTGAAACAGCTGTGAGAAAATGGGATTTTTGAATCTGCTGTAACTCAGTTTTTATTTGTCACGTTTGTTTGTCAGTTTTTACTGTCATGCACTGAGGAAGAAAAGGCACTCACCTCCTTCCTTGCTGACTCCCAAACACCCTTTCAGCTCCTGCAGAGAGATTGACTTGTCCTTGTTGAGGTCACAGTAGTCAGTGAAACGCCGGGCACATTTCTTGGGCTTGGCTTTCTTCTTCACATAACGTTTGAAAGGCTTTAGCTCCCGCTTGTTGATGTCATTGCTGCTGTTGTTGTCCAGCTGGCTGAAATACCAGTGTACCACTCGCTCCTCTAGTGTGTGGCTGGGGTCTGGCTCAGAGAACCTGGAACACAGGAAGCACAGGCCCCCAACAAGGGTGCACTCTCACCAACACCATCAAGCACATGCTGAGGAGCAAGAGCTGCTCATCAAATCAGGCAAGTGCTATGTCATGTTCAAAGTAAGCAAAAACCCCGGGTCTTCCAATCTCCTCCTTTTAGTTGGGCTCTTTTGAGACAGATGAACTTTTTCTAAAAATGTCCTTTAGCATTAGCAAGTGAATTTCCAAGAGAATCTCAGAGTCTGATACCCTAAGTTGCTCTGGTTCTCCTCACACCAGTTGCTGAAACTCTGATTCCAGAATGATCCTCATAAGAGAGCAAGAGACAACCTCCTTGGTCCTTTTGACCCTTGAGTTCCCCTTCAAATTACCAGCAAGAGAGCCATGAGTGCCAGCTGTCATGGTAGTTTCTGTGACAGTAACATCTAGACTTCAGAAAGGGAACAAATTAATTTAATGCAAGACACATTCATTATTTGAAAATGTCCCTGGCAAGATACAATATTCTCCCTGTATCTGTTTATATAATCTGAACTCCTCTGCTGTATTTTCAGCATTCACACAGCTGATTTACACACAGTTTCATAGCAATAAACACCACAAATCCATTAAAAGCAGTACTACAGAGCTGGCAACTTCAGTTTGTTTCATTTCTTAATCACTGCGGTATTACAAGTTTGATGCTATTTGACTCACATTTTCTTTCTGTAGACAACAACAATATCAGAGAGGCAGAGAAGAAAAAAAAATGAGGAACAACAACAGCTGTATACACACAGATATAGAATGCTGCCTTTGAACATCATGCCATCACTGAACAGGCACTGTTATGTCATACATTTAAGCAGCGTCTGGTGCTCCACAGGAGCAGTGGGAAAGGGGGAAAGGGGATACTGAGAACCAGGGAAGAAACTCTTCCTAAGCTAGTCTGTCTTTTCTCCATATGATGAACATGCCAACAGAGAAAGCTGAAAAGATTCAGAAATAAGATTGAGACCTGAACCTTTTTTTTCTTCCAAGAATAAAGCATTTTAGTGCTTGGAAATTAGTGGATAGGTAGTCAGACATGCTACACTGGCACTGATTGCTCTGACTTATTCCAGGAGACATGTCCAGCTGCTGCATAAATTCCTTCCCCAAGAAGGAGAGGGGAACAGTTGCCTGCTGCAGGCAGCCAAATTCTGGTGTGAATTTGGGGCATTTTAGCTGATGGAGAAATATGAACCCAGATACCCCATAAAATGCTCTCCAAGATTGCTGCTGACCTTGCTTCAGAAACTAGTAGGATCTATACTCACATGGTCACTGAAATTTTTTTTGTTGAGAACTAGGAGAAAGATAATTCTTTTGACTTTCTGGTGTGACCAGTTTTGCCTTTAAAATGCAGCTACAGAGCCTGAAAAATAATCCCTCACACACACTACCCCTATGGTAAATTACATCATTAGTGAGGGGGAACCTGCAGCATGCAGAAAGCGAGAACTGGAGTTTAGGTGGAGAACTGAGATCCTCATTAACCTTTTCTAATGGCTTTTACAAATGAGGATAGAAATTAGAAAGGTAGCCCCTATCCAGAGATACATGGATCCTTGCAACAAATAAACACACACAGTACAGAGAGGCAGATAAACTGCGTAACATTTTTCACAGGGTTTTACTTGAAACTATTTCCTTCATTTAATTCTTAACTGAGAGGCAGGCTGGCATTCAGTGACAGTATCTGGTCAATGTACAATGAGATAAACACTGTGCAGGAGGAAGAAAGGGTTAGGAATAAATCTGGCTTATTCTGGGGAGCCAAAATACCAGGTAAGCACCTGGAATCACCTATAGACAAGCAAAAATTGCAAAATTCCCCCCAGGAAGTTAAGGGAGTGTCCTGATTTTCTAAACTGTATGCAAAGACCAGGATGACAGGCGAGAACAGAAACACATCCTGTGTCTTGTTTTTATGACATTTATTAACATGGCTATGGCATCTCTCCCTTTTGGGAAGAAGCTGGCTACCATTTGAAGACTAATGTTTCCAACAGCCTGTTGGAAATACAGCAGCTCTGTATTGCCAGGGGCAATACTCTGCCTTTGCTGAGATAGAAGAATAAAACCTGAGCTTTTGCATGTGAGATTCCCCTTGTTCCCACCTTGGCTTGCCCTCATGTACTGCTGGCACACAACTGGAGAGGCAGAAATGGAGAAAATAGAGCATCTTAGAACCAACAGCAGAAAGACAACAGAGAAGAGCTTCTCACTACCTACTGAAGAGGCACTCAGAAGCAGGATTTTAAAGTGCCTCTTTTGCAGGGCCACACCAAAGAGGAGCTCTTATGAGTTATCAAGAAAGCCAACGTTGGCTCTCTTCAGCACTTCCACAAAGAAAATGTGGGACATTCACGGGCTAATACAAATACACTGACTCATGAGGTGGCAATAAATCAATCTTTGCCATTACAAACATGCTGAGAGCTCATGCTGAAAAATGCAGCATGCTAACAGGGCTAAAAGGAATTAGTTTAATAGCTATGACTTTAGGAAAAAGGAAGACACAGCCATTTCTGAGTTTTTACCACTTTCTGTTGGCTGGCTTAGCAGGACTGCAGTTCCTGAGATGGTTGGTTGCCTGCCATCTCTGGTTATCATCCAAAATCCCAGCACAGGAAGCATCCCCATCATGTCAGGGCAGCCGTATCTCCCTGGCTCATTAAAATCCATGATTCACTGCAGAAGGCTGAAGTTACAATACCACATATAATACCTTGACTTTGACCACTGCCCGTACAAGGCACTTAGGCACCGCCCACGAAACATGAATTAATGCAACTACACAGCACTGCTAGGCCACCTAGCTTTGCTGATGTGCATGACACCAGCCATGCCTGCTGGGTGAGCTCAGACAAATCTGTGGCTCTGATTGCCCTTTGAGCACAGACCTGGCAGAATACCAGGGGACTGCCCCTCCATTTCCTCCCCACACTATTTCAAGAGAAGTAAATCAGATATCAACTTCATTTATTGGGACACCTCTCATTCAGAGCATAATGGAATTAGAAAAACCAAGACAAAACAAAGCTGTCCTGTACATTCTCTATTTCAAACATCTCTTGCTCTAACACCAATCACACTAAAACCCACCCAATTCCAGTAACTCGCTTTGGTGCTGTAGCAGCTTTGTAAGACACAGTAAAAACAGACACTACCAAAATGAAGACAGCCTTATAAGCCTTCTCATGTTGACTGCATTACATTTTTCTGCCTAATTGTTCCTCTTTAGCATTCTATGGCAAAACAATCAGTCCTAAAGAATGAGCACTAGGGAAGAAAGGAGGTCTGTGTAAGCTGATTTTCCAAATGTAACCTGCTGTTGATGGACTGCTTTTGTACACAAGCCAGCAAATTTAGCTCAATTATGCAGCATAAGCCCACCAATATTCCAACAATGAAGAAAAGCATGGTCTGTCATTAACAGCCTAAGACAGTAAACTGTCTCTCAGCTTTCTTAAGTTTGTTGGCATCAAGTATGGTCTTCTCCAAACAGGCCCTTGCTTCTCCTTCTGTATAATGTTCTAAGCGGTCCCTCATAGCAGAACATTTATTTCTTAGGTGGCTTATGCTTGGAGATCTGTGTGTTAAGGTACTGCAATTTAACAATGCTATCTTCCAGATGAGGCAGACTTCCACAGAACACCTTCATATCATCTGGTGTCACTGAAGAACACAAAGAAGCTGTGCAAAACCATGGACATACACTTTTGTAACCCGCACTGAATGCTGGATTGGAGAATGACTGCCAAAATAACAAATATGCAGCTTGATTATGCACTGTGCATGCAAACTGTAATGCTTTTCAGCCCTCGAGGGCCCTTGTGAGAAAGGAGCAGTTAGTTCAGTGTGAAGGAGCAGGGAAGAAGGGGAGGAATACAGGCTGAAGTATAATAGAGCAGCAAATGTGAGACATGGATCCCCTACAGAACCATGTACAGTGTTGCAATCACATTATGCTCCATAGAAATGTGCAGTCAATGTGTAATATGTGCCACTAAATTTTACTAAATAAATTGAAGTCCATTCCTAACAAAACAGGTCCTTTGCTCCCTGAACACTTGCAGCCCCACTGCACAGTCTGCATGGATCCACAGCACTGTTGCAGTGACAAAAAAATCCTAATACAAACTACTGCTTGGACAGAAAGCAAGGTTGCAATCTCTGGAGTACCCGTTTGAAGACTCAGAAAATCTATTATTTTGTACTACAAACGTTATGTAGCAACATTAGCAGCTGAAGCAGAAGGATGGAAGGGCACTAAGATCAGCCCACTATCCAGCTGGACTGCAGAGCCTATAAACCAAAGGGACTTGTTCCAGGATAAAAGAACACTAATGGACAGGAAGCTGGTAGCAAATGCTACAGAGTAAAAATTTAAATTAGTTCAGTTTTCATTCCAACACACACACTAGATATGTTTGTGGTCAGGATGTCTTACAGGAGTTAAAGCTGTAAGTTTCTATTACTTGTAAATAATTTGCAAGGATATATATACCTTGCTTGGTGCTGTTGCTGAATGAATAATGGATGGAGAGTGACTGACCCCTCTAGTCAACACCCATGACAGCACTGATGATGTCCACCAAAGTGCCAGCACTAAGCAGTGGAAAGCAGTGAGTTTAACAAACTGAGTTAAAATTCAAACTTGTTCTTGCTCTGCTTCCAGTTCTTACTCCCATTTTGTTCTTCTTTGCAGTTGCCCAAAGTTAAGGTCTGTAACAGTGGAACATGGTTTGAATCAGAGAAGATTACTATAATGGAATTGCAAAAGGATCCTGTATTTGTTTTTTTTTTTATTCCTCCTTTCCTGTAGCCAAGGAATCAAGAAGCCAACAAAAAACTAAGCTGTGTTCAGACTAAACAAAAGGGTACTACACAGTCCAAATTCATTACGGGAAATGCATAATTTTCTACAGTTAAAACTTACCTCCCTTATTACAGGCCAGTTTCTTTCTCTCTTCAGG